CATAGTTTACAACTTAAACTCCCTGTTAGCAAATAAGCTTTGTTATCCTAACGACGTAGTGTTTAGGCTTAACAGCGTCAAACAGAATTTTAAAGTTAATGAGAAAAAATAAGCTTGCTTTTATAATGAAACACAATTTTAATTAATAAATATATAAATATATATTTTTTACTAGGCAAGTTATTCTTGATAAAAGACAAAAAATGAATTGTTAATAATGAGTTGCTATATTAAATAGTTTTAAACATAATTATTTACTTGAGAGTTATTGGCACTGCACAAGAGTTTTACTATTATGACTCAAAACAAATTCATTCAAATGAAAATGACTTATAAAATTTTGTGGCTATGATCATGATGTTATCATATGAGACCTTTGCAATAGAAAAGGGGGAAACGGCTGAAAAAAAAAAATGAGTTAATGCTAAATCTGAATATATTTTGACCTAAAAATCATATTTGGCTTATAAAAGTAAAATTAATATTTTCCGGCTGTTTCCCCCCTTTCTATTGCAAAGGTCCCATATAAGCTTTAGGAGAGTTGAACCTTGCATTTAAATTTGTTAAAGAATTTGAGATATTTTTTAAGCTATTTTTTAATTTGAAAAGAATATTTAAATAATCGCTTATTATATTGCATATCAAGAATACCGCAATAACGCCATATAACTAATCTTTCAAATTATAAATTTTTTTGGTATAAATGAATAAAGTTAGATAAGTTATTCCTAACGAATAAGCATATTATGAATAGTTTCATATATTGTTTTAGAGTATCAAATACATAATAACAGCCTTTTATAAATAAAAAAATATATAAGTATGTGATATTTATTTTATAAAATGTTATATAATGAAAATTTTTTGCATATGTAAAATATAAAAAAAAAATAGAATCAATAAATATATAACATTAGAAAGACTTTAAGTTTTAAGTTTATCAAATGTTATAAATGAAGAAACTATAATACTTCTATTAAGCATTTTATATCATTTAGATAATTCTTTATGAAATTTTCTAAATTTATAAGATCAATTTATTTAAGATTATATAATTTATTAATCTTACTATTAATTTCATCAATCCTGCTATTATATTTAATATTAAAATCATTAATCTTATTATTAAGAATATTAATACTAATATCTTTTTTCTTAGCAACTTTATTATCGATTCTAATTTCATTTTCCTTTCCTTTCTTAGCAACTTCATTATTAAGCTAGTATTTTCATTCTTCTTTTTCTATCATCATCGCTGCAATAATCATCTTCTTTATACTCATATGATAATTTAATCATTTACCTTCATAATCATCATATAAGTTTCTTTTCTTACATTTTTAACATTCTTTCCCATACGTCATAACTTTATAATTTACCTATATAATAAATATATTCTGATTCTGGTGATAGAGGATCGAAATATATCTCATCTATTGCTTCATAATCTGAAATTGAATCTGCATAACAATAGTAATGAAGCAACGTGACCTAGAGTTAAACCAGTTAATTTTTAATCAGTTAATTAATTGGTTAAAGAATTTTGGTCAGTTTCAACATGACCTTTCCCATATGCATTAGAATATATATTCCTAATAAAAATTTAATCAATTTACTAATAATATTCTAAAAAGAAAAATGAAAAATGAAAACTACCTCATAAAAGCAATAAACATATTTTGCAAAATGGTTACTAAAAGAAAACTACCAAAGAAAGTAATAAATTATACCGCCCAAAAATTCCATGCATCCTCTTGTAAAAATGTACCATTTAACCAATTATATATTGAAAGAAATGAGATAACGAAATTTTTTAGCTGAGTTATCTTCAGTTCGATCAAAATCACTTTGAATCACCTGTAATTAATGTAGATGATGATGATAATTCTGTAAGATTTGTAAAATCAGGATATTGTAATAATAGTAAAACCATGTGCTAATCCTGCTATTACAAAAATCATAAAGCAAGAAATATTCAAGTCTCATTAATAATACTTAGCATAATATAAATATATTTTCTCTGACTCTAAAAGAAATAATCCTCTGTAAAAGTTAAACACTTAGAAATTATGAAGATAAATACAAATATAAATTTCAATATTACCTGATATTAACTGATTTAATATTTTAGAGTTTTTATTTTCTAAGCATCTGAAAATACAGGTTTGTTATATAATGGGTTGACAAATAATATTTTTCTATAAAATAAATTTGTCCCCAGAATAAGCCGTAAAAATGAAACTCAAAGGGTGTGATGCGTTATGATAAATAACCTCTAATCATAATCCTAATCCTAATACTAACCCTAACCTAACCTAACTTCACTCAATATAGGGGTGCATTTTGTGCAGGGTATGCAAAATACAAATTTTCATTTTTAATTTCTAATTCAAACATTTTTTTGTCATGAAATACAAACAAATTCAAACTATAGTAATATCATCATTGTAAAAGAAATTGCGATAGTTTTTTCTTAGTTGTAAATTTAACTTTTTATAAAAAAAAATATATTATTGTTTTCACATAAATAATATTGAATAAATAAAATAAAACCAAAAAGAAAATTTACTATGCTTCCTATCCTTACGAAATCGACTAAAAGAGTTATTAATTAAATAACCTAAAGAAAGAAATAGGAGACCAAATTTTTCGGAAAAAAAAATTTGTATTGTTAGATCTCTGCGTTCAGAAGCGACTGAACCAAAGATCAAAATAAGATGAAAATAAATTAAAAATAATCCTAAAAAAAAGAAGGGGCACAAGATTTTTTAAAAAAAATCATTGAAATTCATCGCTAGATTTTTTTATCATTTTAAGCTAAATCAGTAAGATAAAAAAGAACAATCATTTTTTTTCTCGATCTAACCAGATTTAGATTAGGTTTAATAATATTTTTAAAGCATAAGCAAAATCATATGCTAAACCTCATCTAGTAACTGAACTAACTAAATAGGAGATAGGATATTAAAATCACGTTACGGATCATATGATTTACTATGTTCGTAACTTAATTTTAATAACTAATCTCCCAAATATTGAATTTTTTAGCTAGTCCAATCAGCGAAAAAAATCAATTAGTCATGCAAGGTAAAAAAAATCTTCCTAAAGTTCATTAAAGTTCCTTAAAAACACATTTATATGAATTATAAATTAAAACACACACACTCTCTCGCTTCCATAACCTCAATTCTGGTATTAGTTTTTTTTTAAAAAACAAATGACAAATTATTCTATTAGGACTTACCTCTAAACTAATTCCAATCCAAGGATTCAAGGATTCGGAACGTCCTACAAGGTAAATTTAGTGTTAGATTTTTTTTAGAAAATATTCCACTCTATTAGGACTTTCTGGATCAGTTTATAAAGGTAAGTTAATGTTAGTTTTTTTTATAATAACAAAAAATTCTCCTTTAGAACTTACCTATAATTCGATTTCAACCCAGGCTTCAAGATTCCAGACTGTTCTACAAGATATTTGCAGTTTAAGTGTTAGTATTAGTATTTTTTTAAATAATTAAGTTTTCAAGGTATAAGTTCAGCTTCCTATAAATAAAGAACGTTGGAAAATGTTTCTAAAATAAGGACAAGATGATCATTATCCGCTAAATGAGAATACATTATAAAGGATGATTATTTGTGGAATAACCTTACAACCATAATATTAATATCATTCATCCATTTAAAAATCTTTATAGCAATTTAGCTTTTATAAATAATGAAGTTTAATATTATTAATTATATAGATATAAAAAAAAAGAGGACAACTATACCATAAAAATGCTTATTTTTCATATATTTTATTAATAAATTCTGAAGATGCCGTATATTTTTGTTATGTAAAGTATTGTTTACATAGCATTTCTATGCCGCTAAATAACTATCTATTTTAAAAGTTAATTTCAGAAGTATTTATTATACAAATATATATACATTTTTTTTATCAAATAAAAACCTAATAAGCATTAAATAATCAGAGAATATCAAGTACTTTCTTTAAAATTCATGTATTTGTCTTGCGCAAAGAAACTTCTTGGTAGCTTATACTTTTCTCGACGTTTTTGTCTAAAATAACTAATATTAATAAAAAAATTCGCTAAGCATAATATTATTAATTTTAATATAAACCATGATGATGATTCAAAGATAAAGACCTTTCAAAAATTATATATTAAGTTAACTTGGCATTTTTAATATGTTAAAAATTTCTTTAAGACAAAGAGCTGTTAAAAAAAAATACAAAAATTAAATAATAAACTTTTTCTTATGATGATGGATGAAAATAATTTAACAAATGAAATCAAGTTAATAAATGCTGATTCACTGCAAAGACATATCACTTTTTAGCGTAATTATTTATATCGATTGTAGATCGATGGTAAGAACTTGGACTTTTTTTTTTTGCTTAAATCATTTCTTTTTTTTTTCACATTTAGAAAAAGAACGTGCATCTCTGTTATACTTAATCTGATGAAACTATTCATAATTTAAAATTTCATTCACAAATTCTCAATTTATAGTTGAATTTTCATCTAAGCTACAATTTTTTGGTATTTTTATAAATATAATTATGTATATTCAAGCTGACAGTTATATTAATTTCAGCCGAAAGGCTTTTTCTTATGCAGGAATTATTCTTAGTAGAAAACATCTAGCCTAGTTAAATTTCTTTTATAGTTAGTTAATTTGAAAATACTTCGAATAATGTATGTATATATACTGTATATAATACTTATTGCCTGAATGTGGAATTTTATGAATTTAATATCATATATATACAAAACATAATGCAGTAAATTAAGATAAGTGAATCACTCAATTACAAACTGATTTATTTTAATTAATAAAACTTATTTGACAATCAGTGTTAAACAATACAAGTGATATATATATAACGATAAAAAAAATAATTTGATGATTTCTAAGCCATTGAAATGAAGGTTAAATAACTTAAATAACAATTAATCTCTTGGTACAAATGATCAGTTAATTATAATTTCCCCATCTAATTTCTGAATATTTGAGATTTCTATATTAACATCATTTTCATTGTAATAAGGTTCTTCATCAGGCCTTACTAATTTTGCAAAGTTTGCATTGAAGTCTTCAAGTTTGTTAAAACTTATCTCAAGAACATGGGTAATAACAGGACACTTGATTAACTTTGGTTTTGATAGAAAGAGTTTAAAAGAATTGATAATCTTATAGCGTAATACTTGAGTAATAGTAATACGAAATCCACTCATATTTTTCTTGATATGCCACTTAGCAGAATGGCATTCAGGAACATAATATGTTCTGCGAAAAACATTATTGTCATTAGCAACGTATCAATGTGACCAAGAATCCCAGTAGTATGACAACCACAATAACTTACTATCCATTCATTTGATATGGATTTAGTATTTGTTGCATGTCTTACACCACCTTTTGCCTGCACTGAGATTTAGGTACTGATCCAATTTCTCCAATAAATTGTCCCTCAATGTTTGTTTTACGACCATCTGAAAATTCAACGGTTCGATTTAACTGTTGTGGATATGGTGTGTCTTTTGATATAAATAAACCATTCGTATTATTAGGTATGCATGAAATTGGAGAAACACAAACTTCAACAGAATCAAGATAATAGCCACAGCCGCGCATTCTTAGTAATTGAGAACTAAGAAATTTTCCTATTTTACAAAGATATACATCAATCTCATATTCAAGGTTAGGGGGAGAAATTTTAGCCTAGAGACGAGCAGAGATGGTAAATTTTTGAAAGAGTTTTAGATCTACAGCTCTAACTCTTCCTTCAGAGGATATATCTATAAAATTATTTGTTTCGTCTTTTCCATTACCATCTCTATTACCATCGCCATCGCCATCGCCATTAATATTATTACCACTATTATTATTTCCATTACTATTTTCATTACTATTTCCATTACTATTATCATTACCATCTCTATTATTATTACCACCTCTATTACCATCACTATTATTATCTTTACCATTTACATCATCATTACTTTCTTTCTCTTCTCTCTCTTCTTTTCTATTTGTTTGCTCTTTCTTCAAATCATCTTTATTAATTGAAAAAGAATAACCAATTGAATTACAATCATTAAACTCTTCAGTAATATTATGGCTACTTGATGATTTACTTAAATTCTAATTACAATTGCTTATAACAGGAATTGATATTTGGCATATAACATCAAATTTATTTTCGAACATGGCTTCAAGACATTCCAAGATTGAAATGTCTAATGGTTTGGCAACTCAGCAAGAAATGTATGACCTGATAGAGTCGTTTGAAAGTCAATTCCTATGGCATACACATGCTGCAATTTAAGTAAGTCATCAATATCATCTTTTCGATTATTGAGTAATTTCTGCAATTCTTCAATTTCTATATATAAAACTGCAGAAATTCTGAAGGAAATAGTTGCTTTTGTTGAAACAAACTCCAAAGTATTTGAGCTATAACAAACATTTAATTTATTACCTTTACGAATTTTAATGGTAGGCTAGATAAAATTAAAAAAACTTCTATTGGCAGATACGTGATTAGTAGTCTGATTTTCTCCTGTATTTTTTATTAATAAATTTTATATTAAAATGGATTATCAATTTTAATTATTGGAAGAAAATATTTAAATGCAAAGTCTTCATAATATGATACTTTGCAGTAGAATAGGAATAAACTTATATATATCTATCATGATTTAAAATTAATATAAAATAATATTTTAACAGTTTTTCCTTTCTATTGCAAAATATTCATAATAATTATTAATATATATATATTTACTAAAATTTTATACCATTATATTTATCTATACCTATTTATACAAAATAAATATATTGATCTTAATATAAAATTAACTATTAATAAAAACTAGTAATAAGTTATATACCATATATTTTTGATTTATTGTATAATTTATCTATAAAATAAATATAAACTTAATTAGAATGTTTTTTTAAATATCTTATTAAATAATATCATTATTATAATTAAATTTAATTTTTTAGATTTAATGCTTATATTTTCATTTACTGATAAAAAATTTGTAATAAATATAAAATTATATTTTTATAATTTAAATAATACCATTAGATAAATATCTATAATATTTATAATTATTACAAATTTAATAAATAATTATTTATTTCTTACCATCAATTTTAATATAATTTTTTTGTTTATTATTATTGAATTTTATAAAGATTTCTAAAAAAAAAAATATTTAATTTAAATATATTTAATAAAAAAGAATTTAAATACTTTATTAAAATAAAAACCATCATTATGATTAATTTTCAATTTTTTAGATTTAATACTTAAATTTTCATTTATTTAAAAAAAAATTGAAATAAATAAAAATTAATATTTTTATAATTTAATTATTATCAGAATAAAAATTTTTAGATTTTTTATAAATGGGGGCTAAGCTATTAAAATCACCTTACGGGATAAGAAATTGATTTTGAGTAAATAATGATTAAAAAAATG